CGCTGGTGCATAGGAGCTGGCCCTCAACAGCACATCTGCAGAAACAATACACAGAGTCAGTATTGCATGTGCACTCAGAGTCTTGAATCATAAAAGTTACACACACTTCTGTCTCATTTTCCCTTGGCAAGCATGAAGCACAGCTTGAGAACTAAACATGGGGAGTCCTCCCTGGCTGCGAGGGAGAGAAGGTGGGACAAAGGGTCTGGATGGTTTCAGAAGGGGATCCGTACAAGCGCCTAGGGACACTATTCTGAATAGTGACACCATTTTCCACAGGCAGGGGTGATCGAAGCTGAAATCACACTACTGAAGGTAATCGAAGATGCAAGGGTGCACCTCCTACATGCGTGCAGCTTCAGACCAGGTCCACATGCTGCTTGCCTGTGTGCTGCTTTGGTTCCTGCAGAAGTAATTGCTGATTGACGCAGCAAAGTTTTCTACAACGGGGGAAGAAACACAGCAGCTCTGCCAAAGAACCTTCGGCAGAGGATTGCAGAGTACCTGCAGGAAAGTTTCCAAGAGATCTCTGTTCAGAATTTCCAAGAGATCTTGGTGTGCATTAACAAACTTTTCCATAGGGCCTCCACTGGATAGCTGCACAGGGGAATGCAAAGCAGATGCAAACAATATCTAGTGTTGTTAATTTCAATCCCACATGCACCATGTAACAAAATAAAGGACTCCTCTACTTCATGTCATCGTGCAGTACCAAAGAAAAATGAGTACTTACCAGAGCTCCCTCTCCTGCTTCAGGCACATCAGAGCCAGACTGCTGGAACTAGCTAGACCCGTCTGGAGTTAAAAAGAGGTCCTGGCTCGCCACATCACCAGACGAGCCTGTTGCTTTTTGCACATCCTTCTCTAACTCAACCTCCTCGTCCATGGGATTGACTCTGCTGGCCGCTGCTTCCAGTCCCCAGAAAGTATCCACAGGGCTCTTGGTGGTGGAGGTGGGGTCACTGCCAAGGATTGCATGCAGCTCCTTGTAGAAGCAGCATGTTTTCAGCACTAAGCCAGAGGGACAGTTGGTCTCCCTTGCCTTCTGATACACCTGCCTCAACCCCTTGAATTTAGCATGGCACTGTTGCATGTCTCTTGCATGTCATGCCACGAGCAATCCGCTCACAGGTGTCAAGTTCCTACAGCTGGATCAGAGATAGTCTCCTCTTCCCACAGACCCAACAGGTCCAGCAACACCAGTGTACTCCAGACGGGATCACATTTGCTGCGGAAAGCTGGGAAGATGCATGTGAGCTGTCCACCCTGAGCAACCATGAAGAGGAATTTCAAAAATTCCTGGGGTTTTAAAGGAAGGGGGTGCATGCCTGTGTACCTAGCTGCAGGGCAGCAGAGTAGGAACTGCTGACAAGAGTGGTCATGATGGGCATTGTGGAACACCTCGTGGAGGCCACTTAAGATGACACAAGCAAGCACATTGTCTACAATGACATTGCATCACACTAATTTCGTTGCAAAAAGCTCTATGCTGCTCATCAAGGTGGTTTTATTATGCTGGCATAGCAGGAGAGTTAAATCAGCAGGGGGAGCATTGTTGTGTATAGACTTCCACTGTTTTGTCAACAAAACCTGACTTTTGTCGACAAAACTGTGTAGTGTAGACAAGGCCTGAGGTGGCAGAGGCAGGGAAACTCCAGCAGCTCCTTTCCATCTACCACATCTTTAGACCCCTCATAATCTGGTTACAGACCTAGGGAAGCATAGGGACTGACTCCCTCTCTACACAGCAGGTGTGCTCGACCCCTCCTCTGCCCCAGGCCTGCCCCTACTCCACCACTTCCACCAAGCCCCCACCCCGCCTTTTCCTGCCCCCTTTCACCCCAAGTCCCACTCCACCCCTTCCCCCAGGCCCCACCCCCGCTCTGCCTCACCTCTTCTCACCCCTTCCCCCAAGTATGCCCCATCCCGGCTCCTCCCAGCACCTTCTGCACACTGTAGAACAGCTGTTCTGTGGCATGCAGAAGACACTGGGAGGGAGGGGAAGGAGCTGATCAGAGCTGATCACCGGTTTGCAGGAGGCGCTGGGGGGAGGAGGGAGCTTGGGTGCTAGTGGGTGCTGAGTACCCGCTAATTATTTTCCGTGTCAGCGCTTATGTAGAGATGGCACTAGTTATGCTAAAAGATCTTCTCAAGCCTATGGACAATAGTCTACACTGGTATTCTTAGACACACCGGCAATGTTTAACAGTTGACACGGCGGGATGCTGACCTGTTTGCTTTGTCCTGTCTCTGATCCTGAAGAAGAAAGAAAGCCCTGTGTAAAAGGCAAAGGCACTATATCCCCCCCCCCTCTCTCCCTCTGGATCCTCCCCTCTTCTGCTTCTCTATAAGCAAAAAGAGCCAACCCCTGGAAGGAAGGAGTTCACCATTTTCCTTCTCATGTTTAACAAACATACAGCTATCCTACTGGTGCTAACAGCCTGTTAAGTGGCTGGCAACCTGTTCCCTTCAACTGTCCAACCAAATCAGAGAAGTCTTTTAGCTGCCTGAGGTCTACACCCATAAGTATCAGGGGTAGCCGTGTTAGTCTGTATCCACAAAACCAACAAGTTTCAGAGGAACAGCCGTGTTAGTCTGTATTCGCAAAAAGAAAAGGAGTACTTGTGGCACCTTAGAGACTAACCAATTTATTTGAGCATGAGCTTTCGTGAGCCACAGCTCACTTCATCAGATGTGTACCGTGGAAACTGCAGCAGACTTTATATACACACAGAGAATATGAAACAATACCTCCTCCCACCCCACTGTCCTGCTGGTAATAGCTTATCTAAAGTGATCAACAGGTGGGCCATTTCCAGCACAAATCCAGGTTTTCTCACCCTCCACCCCCCCACACAAATTCACTCTCCTGCTGGTGCTAGCCCATCCAAAGTGACAACTCTTTACATAATCAAGTCGGGCTATTTCCTGCATAGATCCAGGAGTCCGGTGGCACCTTAAAGACTAACATTTATTTGGGCATTCACTTTTGTGGGTAAAAAACCCCCTTCTTCAAATACATCTGAAGTTTATGAAAGCTTATGCCCAAATAGTCTTTAAGGTGCCACCGGACTCCTTGTTATTTTTACCCATAAGTATCTGCCTCTGGCACCACCCAGCAGGACAATGCTGATAATTTAGGTGGGATTTTTAGGGGAAACCCTAGCTAGCTCAGCCACAGCTTCTTAATGACAGCAGGACTCTTACAGAGAGAGAGAGAGAGATTATAGGATTTCTCTTGGAGAATAAGAGAGAGCAGTGAATGCAAAGTTGTACTTCCTTAGGGATGTTTTGTGGACATCAGAAATCACACGAGTAGTGGTTTTTCATCACAGAATTTCCTAGTTTTTCATTATTACATATATATTTAATTACAATATTATGTCAAAATGTGTCTCTGAACTCTCCTGTTTACACTCCAAGAGAAGCCATATTCAATACCGTTAATTAGTTTTGTATCAGTGCTAACAAATCCATATAATGGTACATCAACACTAATCATAGAATATCAGGGTTGGAAGGGACCTCAGGAGGTCATCTAGTCCAACCCCCTGCTCAAAGCAGGATCTATCCCCAATTAAATCATCCCAGCCAGGGCTTTGTCAAGCCTGACCTTAAAAACTTCTAAGGAAGGAGATTCTACCACCTCCCTAGGTAACACATTCCAGTGTTTCACCACCCTCCTAGGGAAAAAGTTTTTCCTAATATCCAACCTAAACCTCCCCCACCGCAACTTGAGACCATTACTCCTTGTCCTGTCCTCTTCTACCACTGAGAATAGTCTAGAACCATCCTCTCTGGAACCACTTCTCAGGTAGTTGAAAGCAGCTATCAAATCCCCCCTCATTCTTCTCTTCTGCAGACTAAACAATCCCAGTTCCCTCAGCCTCTCCTCAGAAGTCATGTGTTCCAGACCCCTAATCATTTTTATTGCCCTTCGCTGGACTCTCTCCAATTTATCCACATCCTTCTTGTAGTGTGGGGCCCAAAACTGGACACAGTACTCCAGATGAGGCCTCACCAATGTCGAATAGAGGGGGACGATCACGTCCCTCGATCTGCTCGCTATGCCCCTACTTTATACATCCCAAAATGCCATTGGCCTTCTTGGCAACAAGGGCACACTGCTGACTCATATCCAGCTTCTCGTCCACTGTCACCCCTAGGTCCTTTTCCGCAGAACTGCTGCCTAGCCATTCGGTCCCTAGTCTGTAGCTGTGCATTGGGTTCTTCCGTCCTAAGTGCAGGACCGTGCACTTATCCTTATTGAACCTCATCAGATTTCTTTTGGCCCAATCCTCCAATTTGTCTAGGTCGCTCTGTATCCTATCCCTGCCCTCCAGCGTATCTACCACTCCTCCCAGTTTAGTATCATCCGCAAATTTGCTGAGAGTGCAATCCACACCATCCTCCAGATCATTTATGAAGATATTGAACAAAACCGGCCCCAGGACCGACCCCTGGGGCACTCCACTTGACACCGCTTGACAGTAGATAGTAATGAATCATTACTATCTACTGTACTATGAGACCCAGAAACCATAAAATACCTTACATTTATATAGTAAACCTACTGAAAATTCTCAGGACAAAGAAGATGATTTTCTGACTATGTTTACTGGTGGCCCTTGACACTTGTCTTACATAATTTAATAAATATTTGTAACTAAATAACCTCAGTATTTGCAGTGTTCAACGTGTTTCCTACAGTAAATACAGAGAATCACAAGAGAAGACCACAGTAATCTTACCTATTTACCCTAGGTAAAAATGGCAAGTCTTTTAAAGCCAATGCTGTAATCATAGACACATACATACCCCTCTACACACACAATTATGCCATGTGTGTAGGCAAGTTCTGACAAAGCTAAAAAGCTGTAATTGTGTAACATATAGTAAATTCTTTTAACACCAGAGTGGGATATTTTTAAATGGTCTTAAAATGAGGTCCACACAAAGAAACCCTAAAAAAAAGTGGTAAGGGAGCATTTCACACTCACCTGAACATGATCGGCCCAATTCTCCTGAGTCATGGTTTTCTGAAAAGACACCAAAAAAATCTCTAAAATATGTTTTTAAAACATCTGGTATGCACTGAAAATCTCTGGGTTCTCATATATAATCATGAAGAGCACATTAGAAAAATATTGCTTAGATTAGGTTGGATATTAGGAAAATTAGGTTGGATATTAGGAAAAACTTTTTCACTAGAAGGGTGGTGAAACACTGGGAATGGGTTACCTAGGGAGGTGGTGGAATCTCCTTCCTTAGAAGTTTTTAAGGTCAGGCTTGACAAAGCCCTGGCTGGGATGATTTAGTTGGGGATTGGTCCTGCTTTGAGCAGGGGGTTGGACTAGATGACTTCCTGAGGTCCCTTCCAACCCTGATATTCTATGATTCGTTAATTCAGAGAAATGATGGAGTACAGCACAAAACTATTATCCAAACCTCAATCTGCACTTACAGTATGAAGGTCACACAGAATCCTATCCAGATCATAGTGAAGCTCCTCATATACATTATAAAATAGAGATAATCCAACCAGACCTACTTTGTAGTGGGTGTGAAACTACAGATAACTTCCAACTGCACAGCTAGGTAGGACTGCTGAAAACTGAGACATTGCTGACCTCAGTAAAGCAACATTGTCTAATGTAACAGAATACTTAAATTTCATGATGCTCTCAGCACACCCAGTGCGATCTCCCAGAAACACAGGAGAATCCTCCAGGCCTATTCAGGCTGCTGTTGAGCAACTGAATACTGGAAAAAAAGTTCACATTGGTCACACGGAGAAGCGGCCCTCTAAAACATGAGTGTGCTTCTATTCAGGGAATTAATGAGCTTGGAATAGGACAAATGGAAGGTACCCTTCCCCTAAACAGCAGCCTTGTCTTTGTTAATGTACTTAGGATGACTACACTGCCAAACACAGTGGATCAACTCTGTACTCCTTGAGACCCAAAATGTTGATTGTGAGAGCACCTCTTGCAGTTTACTGAACACCCACAACTGCCACTGAAGTCAGCGGGAGTGGACAGCATTTGATGACTTGCAGGAATGGTCCCTATCATAAATATAATAGTATAATAAAATATACCCATAATTCTGAACTAGATTTATCAGTCTATAATATCTCAGTCCAAGCACTCGTAACAGAGATTTCTGAATCTCAATGCCTTTCTGTATCACTACAGCATGACTAAACTTCGCTTCCATAACAACCTCATATTTCCAGCATCTCTATTATATTGTTCAAATCAAACAAAAATAAATCCGTACACACATTGTACAAACATACCTCAACAAACCTCTTGTAGAAGAGATATTTCAGAGAGCCTAGGTGTCGCTGATTTATGACATTCGGACAGAGAACTGAAACAAAAGAAAGGCCTTTAAGTCAACACAACTTCTGAACTTCCTTGAAGCGTTCTTTTCTAGATAGTACTTCTTTCCTCCCCTGATATAAATATCATTTTAAATGATGAAAACACAGAAAGACGCTATCCAAACCTGAAACAAAGAGGGCCAGAAGCATCCTGGCCTTGCCTATATTAACACTGCTAACTGTGTTTAAAAACCAGATTAGTATTTGTAGTGTAAACAAGCCCATAAATATATTTTGCAATTTGGCATGTGCTACAATAGGCAGTTTTCTGCTGCTGCTGCTTCTTCTCTCTCTCTCTTTTTCTTTCTTTCTTTTCTTTTTTTTGAGGGGGTGGTGAGAAAAATCATTTAAGCCTTAGCGATATATGCACTGGACATACATATATCCTAAATATCCAGGACACGTTCCAATATAGAGGAAAATGTGCAAGAATTTAAATGCTGTGGAGCAGATTCAAAGAACAAATTCAAAGAAAACAGAATTACCAACATCCCAAGCAGAAAGTCACAGATTTTCAAGAGACGGACTACACACATCTTTGATGCACCAAGATGTTCCAGTAGCAAAAACAAGCTAATACAAAAGAGTAAAGACAAGGGGTACATTTTCAAAAGCGCCCAAATGACTTAGGAACCTAAATCCCATGGACTTTCAATGAGATTTAAGGTCATAAGTCACCTTGAAAATGTGACTTGGGCATTGTCTACCCTACACAGTTTTTGTCAACAAAAGGCAGTTTTTACTGAAAAAATAAAATCACCTCAACGAGAGGCATTGAACTTTTTGCAGCAAAGTTAAAACGACAAAGCATCAGCGTAAACGCTGCCATTCATTATATCACCAGAACTGGCCTCACCCAGTATCCCACAATGCCCACTGAGACCGCTCTGCTCACTGTTTTGAACTCAGCTGCACTCAGAGGTGAAAGTAAGCCGGCAAGAGCTGGTGCGCCGTACCGGGGTGGATCGGCTTCCCCAGGCGCAATTGAAAGTGGCTGGAGTCCCCGGCCCTTTAAATTGCTGCCAGAGCCCCGCTGCCGGAGCCCTGGGGTAGCAGCGGCCGGGCTGGGGCGGCGATTTAAAGGGCCCAGGGCGGTAGCGGCAGCCAAGCCCTGGGCCCTTTAAATCGTCCCCAGGGCTCCGGCAGGCTCCGGGGACAATTTAAAGGGCCCGGGGCGGTAGTGGTGGCCGGAGCCCCTTCCCCAGAGTCCTACTGCAGGAGTCCTGGGGAAGTGGCGGCGGGGCTCTGGGGATGATTTAAAGGGCCCAGGGCTCCAGCCACCGCTACCACCCAGGGCCCTTTAAACCGCTGCCAAAGGCCCCGGCTGCCGCTGTTACCCCGGGGAGGGGGAAGGAGGCACTTGCCAGTACAGGTTGGGCCGGGGCTGGCTCTGACCTCCCCCAGCACCACCCCTTCCGGGGGCCAGAGCTGCCCCAGCCCAGCCTCGTACTGGTAAGTCCCTAGACTTACTTTCACCCCTGTCATAAGATTTTCAAAATCATAAATTTCATGATATTAGTTACTGAAATCTGAAATGTCACGGTGTTGTAATTGTAGGGATCTTGGCCCAAAAAGGAGTTTGGGGGGTGGGGGGTCGCAAGGTTATTGTGGGGGGGTTGCGGTACTGTTACCCTTACTTCTGTGCTGCTGCTGACGGCGGCGCTGACTTCAGCGCTGGGCAGCTGGAGAGCGGCGGCTGCTGGCAGGGAGCCCAGCTCTGAAGGCAGAGCCGCCGCCAGGAGCAGCGCAGAGGTGAGAGTGGCCTGGTACGGTGTTGCCACCCTTGCTTCTGCGCTGCTGCTGGCAGCGGCGCTGCCTTCAGAGCTGGGTGCCTGGCCAACAGCCGCCGCTCTCCGGCCGCCTAGCTCTGAAGGCAGCACAGAAGTAAGGGTGAAAATACTGTGACCCCCTAAAATAACCTTGTGACCAAGCTTGCAACTCCCTTTTGGGTCAAGACCCCCAATTTTAGAAACGCTGGTCTCCCCAATGAAATCTGTATAACATGGGGCAGGGGTCCTCAACCTCTTTCAACATGCTATAAAAATTCTGGGGCCCAGGGGTGGTGGAAATCAGGGCTCTGGGCCAAGAGGATGACCCTTGGGCATAGGCAGTTTGACTTCTATTGGGGGGGGGGGCACAAGGACTGGAGAGGCTCAGGCCAGCTCCGCACAGCGGGGTTCAGGGCGGGAGCACCACCTCCACCCCCGACTCACCGCAGCAGACCACCCACCTGTCTGGGTTGTGGGGGGGCCGCAACCAAAAAATATGACTCAGCTCAAAAACTTTGAAAACCGCTCAGGATGCAGACAAGGGGTAGCTAGGGGCTGTGTGTGGGCAGGGGGAGAGATCAGGTTGTAGGGAGGGGATAGCTCAGGATGCAGGGAGGGGGATATGGGGGCAGCTCAGGGTGCAGACAGGGGGTAGCTAAGGACTATGTACGAGCAGGGGTAGCTAGGGGCTGCGTACGGGCAAGGGGGGTAGATTAGGTTGCAGGGAGAAGGATAGCTAGGGGCTGTGTGCCAGGAGGGCTCCCCCTGTGGTGGCTGCTCCCCAAGGGCTCTGCTGGCCCCCCTCATCCAGGCAGCTCTTACCGGCTGTGTGAGCAGCCAAGAGGGCTGGAAGCTGAGGAGCAGCAGCAACCCCAGGCACCAGCAACAGATGGGGGAATGCCATGGCTGCCCACTCCATGGTACCACCAGCCAGAGGAGCAGCTACCCTGCACTGCCTGGCTCTGGCTTCCCACCTACAACCCAGCCAGAGGGCAGGGCCTGAGGAGGCCTGGGGGAGAGGAGAACGTGCAGGGGGATGGAACAGCTCCCAGACTGCCCCACTCTCAGAAAGGCACTGCAGTCGGGGGGGCCAACACCCTTGTTCCCTGCTAGCTCTGCCCATGGGCTCACAGCTTCTGCCTGCGGGGAGCACCAGGGCTTAGAACTTCAGTCCCACATGGATCCCAGCTTCAGTAGGGAGTGGGGGACGCTGGGGCTCCCGGCTTCAGCACCACACCGCTCCTGGCTTTGGGGGCAGGGGGGCCTTGCCAGTTTCAGCCCCGCACTACTCCTGGCTTGGCGGAGGGGAAGAGGGGCACCGGTTTCAGCCCCACACGGCTCCTGGCTTTGGTGGGTGGGGGAGCAGCTTCAGCCTTGCACCACTCCCAGCTTGAGCCCCGCAAGAGGGTGCCGGGGCTCCTGACTTTAGCCCCATAGGAGGTGCCCGGGGCTCAGGGCACCGGGTTTCAGCCACGGGACCCTGCGGCCCCCCCGAAAAGGCTTGCAGACCCCTGGTTGAGGGCTGTTGGTAAAGGGTAAAAGCACACAAAGCACCAGATTTCATGAGGGGAGACCACATTTCACGGTCCGTGACGCGTTTTTCATGGCTGTGAAATTGGTAGGGCCCTAGTCATGTGGGACTCTGTCACAAGTCTTACTAAAATGAAGATATAGCACATCATCTGCTTCCCCATTACTCACAGAGAGTAACCCTGACAAAGAAGGCAATTGGGTTGGTTTAGCATGATTTCTTCTTGACAAAATTATGCTGGCTATTCCTTATAATCCTATTATCCTCCAGGTGCTTACAAATTGATTGATTGATTGATAGATAATTTGTTCTAGCAACTTTAGGCTGACTGGTCTATAATTCACTGGGTCCTGTTTGTTACCCCTTTTAAAGAGAGGTGCTATGTTTTCCCTTCTCCAGTCCTCTGGGACATACACCTGCTGTCCAGGAATTCTCGAAAATAATTGCTAACGGTTCTGAGATTCAGATTCAGCTTAAGTACCCTAGGATGAATTTGATCAGACCTTGCCAACTTGAATATATCTAACGTATCTAAATATTCTTTAATTTGCTCTTTCCCTATTTTGGCTTGTGTTCCTTCCCCCTTGTTGTTAATATTAAGTGTGTTGAGTATCTGGTGAGCCACAATCTTTTTGGTGAAGACAGAAGCGAAACTGGCATTAAATACCTCAGCCTTCTTGATATCACCAGTTACTAGCTCTCCTTCCCCACTCGCTAGAGGACCTACACTTTCTTTAATCTTTCTCTTGCTCCTAATGTATTTAAAGAACCTCTTCTTATTGCTTTTTATGTCTCCTGCTGTGCCTTAGCCTTTCTGATTTTGTCCCTGCCTGCTTATGCTACTCTTTTGTACTCCTCCTTACCAACGTGTCCACCTTTCCACATTTTGTAGGATTCCTTTTCGAGTTTTCAGGACATTATAGAGCCCCTGATGGAGCCATATTAGCCTCTTACTATTCTTACTATCTTTCCTTTCCACAGGGATAGTTTGTAGCTGTGCTTTTGATACTATCTTCTTGAAAAACTGCCAGGTCTCTCAAACACCCTTTTCCCTCAAAATTTCTCACCATGGGACCTTACCTACAAGTTCTGGGAGTTTGTTGAAGTCTGCTTTTTTTGAAGGCCATTGTCCTTATTCTGCTGGTCTCACTCCTTCCTTTCTTTAGAACCATGACATCTTATAATTTCATGATCACTTTCACCCAAATTGCCTTTAGATTTGCAATCAATTCCTCCCTGGCACTCAGAATTGAGTCTGAAATGGCTGCCCCCTGGCTATACAGCACTTTTCATCAGCAAATTTCCAAGCAGGTCAATATCATTATCCCCATTTTACAAATGAAGACACTGAGACAGAGAGAGGTAAAGTGACCTGCCCATAGTTACACAGACCAATGACAGAGCAGGGAATTGAACTCAGGTCTCCTGTGTCCCAGCCCACTTCCCTCTCCAAGATAGCATAAGACAATCTGTTGCAAGCGCTTTGGAGAAGGGGCCGTTCTTTCATTACGTGTTTGTATGGTCCTGGGCCTGGTGCATGGCTGAGGTTCCTACGCACCAGCACAAAGCAAATCTTGCATCTTGGCAGGGGGCTAGACTAGATGACCCTTGGGGTCCCTTCTAACCCTGTCGCTCTACGATTCCAATAAATACTCCCTCCCTCAACATACATCACTGGATGTGTATT